AGCTTTTCAAGTCTTGACCACGCCGTCGAGTCCTCGGAAATCAGTGGCGAACTGACCAGATCACTTGCCGACGATGTACAGGCTGCACATATGCTAGCTAAATGCACGTGGCTTGGTTGGTTTAATGGTGGTACCAGCTGGGCGGCATAATCATCGTACATAGCACGAGAATCAGCGACTAACGCATGCTCCCCGGTAGTGACATCGATTGCTAGCAAGGCAACCGGTTCCGGCGGAGTGAGGAGAGACGTCGCCCCTCTCCTTGCGTGACTCAGTTTCCCGAGTTTGCTGGACGGAGTACGCGTGCCTTGCCCTTTTCGGGGCATTGTGCAGTCAAGTGTGTGACTCCATTGCACCAAAGGCAATATCTATACTTTTGACGAAGTTCATAAACTTCCTTGGTGATGTTGTAGGCCGTCCATGGCTGCTGCCCAGTTCCCGTCGATGTCATCTCTTGTGTCGCCTTGGGTTTCCGGACCCTCTTAGGACACTTCGGCAGGAGCGCTGCTACAATTCCTCCATCACTCGAGGATGCTGCTGCAGCTCGGAGATCGTCTGTTTCTTCAGAAAGTACGACATTGTTATGTGTCGGACGTTGATAGCCATGCTTAGCCACATAATGCGGCTGGGATTGTTTCTTGTTAGCGGCCTTGTCGTCCGTTTGGATGACCAGGTTTGCGCGATCCAGGATAGCCTGGAACGAGGTATAGTCGTACTCGTTACCGAGTGCCGACCGCAATCCTGCGCACAATCGCGAGAAGAACTCGGATCGTTGATTAGGAAAAGTCAAATCGAAGCTTGGCGTGGTCACTATCTTCTGCCACTTAGTTGTCCAGTCTCGAGTTGGCATACTTCCTTGAGAGCAGGTGTACACCTCGTTCATGGCCGCCTTCACGACGTTGCGGACCATGAACCGGGTGAACCATAGCTGCCCGAACTCCTTCCACGTGATGTGCGTGTGAAGTTCGGCGATGGTGCATGTGTGGGTAGCCGCCAGATGGTTCATCCATGCCTGCGCTCCTCTAATCAGCTGTAAGTATAACACCATCATCAGATAGTCATCCGGGACAGTGCGGCATGATGCTTCCGTGAGGAAACGTTGCCACCATGCCAAAGCGTCCATCTTGTTGTGGTCGTCGAACTTGCTGATGTCGAAGTGTGGCATCTTGTAGTTCTTCGTAGTGGCGTCCGGTTTCGTCTGCAGCTTGGTGATGTCCGTCTTGATGGCGGCCACCGTGCTACTGATCGTGTCCGACCCATTGAAAAAACCTATGTCGCCGATGAGATTGACGACATGATCGATGCGCCCATTGAGCTGCTTCGTTGTGTCTGTCATATCTGGCGTGCAGCCTGGCGCTGCTTGGGGAGGCCTTGCCTCCAAGGTAGCAATGCGTGCATCCAGCTGTTTCAACTGGTTGTCCGCGACCTTGACAGCTGCTGCAAGTATCTTTACGTTGTGGCTCAGATCGTGCTGCAGCTGCAGTGTGGACCGGGAATGCAGCTCCCCCATGGAGCTGTTCCAAATGACTGCGCGCATTGTATGGAGTAGAATGTCTGCCAGGTCGTGCCTCTCTTGCTGTACTGTTGTCGGCTCGCTGCCGGTGCCGGGACATAACGCATCCCGTTGAGCACCGCTGTCCATTGTGCTTGGTTAGCACTTACAAGATCAACACTGCCGGCGTTGAGCTGATCGATCGCCAAGCGGTCTGCCTCGGCTTGACGCCAGGTTTGTGCTGCAGCTTCCTCTGCTAGCCGTAGTCTTTCGGCTGCGGCAGCCTCTTGCTGTTCCTTGACCTGAGTGAGTGCGGCTGTATACAGCTTCCTCTGCTAGCCGTAGTCTTTCGGCTGCGGCAGCCTCTTGCTGTTCCTTGACCTGAGTGAGTGCGGCTGTATA